CGTAACGAGAACGTTCAGAACAACCGGGTACAGATATCCTGAAACTGTTGTATACTATTATTTTAATAATATAGTATTTGAGGTAGTGATTCATTGATTAATGTATAGGAAATAATGACTAACAGTTCTCATGAGTGCCTAGACACTATTATCGATCGTGAAGCATTTGAACTTTTGCTGTATATGAAAAAAATGTTGAGATAATAACAGAAGTGGATAGTGACTAGTAACGGAATACAGGAGTAGATGTTCACTCAATAACTCTGAGGTACAGGTACATCCAGTTGACAAGTTCAAAATAAGATGAAACGCTCGTCCTGAATTCCACTGCTAGCCAATATCCACCTCTACTAATAATGCTAGTAAGCTAAAATAGCTTTAAATACCCAAAAGGTATTGATCAAGATGCATAGTCTGGAAAGTTATTAACTTGATCAACGGGTGAACAAAGGTAATACTCTGGCAATTCATATATACTATACAAATCTCAATAGAGAATGATCACATCTCAAACGAGCACATAGACAGAGGGAATCAGTAAGATGAAAGACAAAGGTAAGGGGAATCTGAACAGTTCAAATGAGAAAAATTTAGACCAAATAATGAAAAATTCCCACAATAAAAATTTATTCGAACTTCAGAGACAAATAATAGAATGATGAAAAATGATTCTCATCATTTCACTTGTCTAATCACTAATCGAGATGATTGATTGGGACCTTGTAAGACCTAATAACCCACCGACTGGTTCAGACCAACACCCAAATACCGCTTGTTTAATTCAGTTATTTTGTTAGTTTGGACAGACCATGTAACAGTTGTTATACAGTTTTAATTTCGCGAATTATATTCCACCATGTAACCTACTTCATTTCATCGGTTAAGTTCATTGTGCGCATAACGATTATAACTTTCTTACAAAAGGATAACAAAATATTCACCTAAATTGGCTCATATAACCTTATATTTCATTTTGATTGACTTTATTTAGATTTTGATAGGAATTATTAGTTTGTTTCATTCTTGTGAGGACTAACATAATACAATATTAGCTGGTTTATAAGTATACAATTTTAAATGTACACTACTTGAAATAATCATTAATTTAAACAGTCTATCAGAAAATAGAATAATTTAAAACTGTATGTTTCTGGGCATGTAAAGTGAAAAAAGAAGGAAAATTTCTTCCTACTGTTTACTAATTAACATTTATGTAGTTTAGTTTGTGGATATGACTGGTGTAACTTATTGATTCTTTAAATTTTAAGATACCCATCCATTTTTGATTGTAAATTGTTGGTTTGTACTTAAGCCTATTTTTATATGTTATATGTTTCAACTCCCCTGCCAATTGTGTTTTTTCCGCGTAGATGACCTAACTGAACCATGAAAAAAAGGCGACTATAGATAATAATTTTTCAATCAGAGTTATGGAGATAATTGTCTTTACATATTTAAAATCATCAGTCAGTCATTGTTAGACCACCATTAGAAACCTAGAATCACTGGACGGCGGCTTCGTCCTGGTATGGGACACATTATCAGTGCGCATCCACGACTCATTTTTAAATTAATTCACATATCGTTTCAGATTTAAAACTGTTATTCATTTTATAAATAATAAATTCAGCTGATGAGGTTTGGTGTCATACAAAGCCATACTGATCATTAGCAAGTTCTCGAATTAATTAGCTCCATACGAAGTGCCCATATATCGTGTACTCATTACTTGATGAGTTCGGTGTGTATATATATAGATCAGTGATGAGCTTTGAGCAGAGATTACCAACGAAAAACTACGTTATTTTTAAGTCGAACAATTTTGAGAGGGTGAAGAAAATTTGTAGCTCAGGTGGATGATTGTTGTGGTACTTCTTTCTCCGAAACATTCAGTTCGGAGAACGAAACACCACAGCAAGTCGAACAATCTAATGAAATCAAGAATTATTAAGAAAACTGTAAGGCGGTGAGAGTCTATTTCATTTCAATCTGAACCAAAACTTATACAGACTGATGAGATGTCTGATGTCTGATGAAAACTTTTGATGATTATTTCATTCTAACGATAAAATTTTAACATTAGAAAGTATACTTTATATTTTTATTGTTATAATCCATGTATTGTACCCTAATATATATAAATTACACAGAAATTTTAAAAAAGCAGTAGCATGAGTATTTGCGTAACGCAACTTAGCGGCATATGATGAACTAATTAATGACAATAAACTTTTTCTACTTATAAGTAGTATGTTTCATATACATGAAATTATTTTTTTTAAAACGGAAAGACTAATTAATTAGCTTGTTCCATCTTCATAAAGCAAAAAAAAGCAACTATCCATAGATTGCTTTTGCTTTATCCCCTTATACTGTTGCTAACTCAGTTGATAAACCTCCAAGTAAAAATGAACAGAAACTAAATGATAAGAAATTACATTTATTTAGCTGAGAATAATTTTTTTCAAAAAAAGCTTTCGATATTTTCATTTGATTACTATCAACTGTGTAAATTTGCTAGGCTACGTTTTGAGAACCTGTGAATGATTTAAAAATGTACATTTAAGCTTTCATTCTCAACAGGTACTAAGTGTATTTTAGATTCAGGATTCTCAAATCGGTATTTGGAATATATGGGTTAAAATACTCCGATCATACTAGTTATTCAAATAAACAATGATCATTATACTGAGTCATTTATGTATTGAAATTATATCTTGTGTTTTAAATCTGCTCAGTATAAAATGTGGATAACTTGACAGCGTTGGAGTGAACATGATTATAATAATCTTTAGATTAAACGATGTTGTTTGTATCTGATACTCATTTCTAAATTATTTCTCATCTCATTTCAGATATAAAACTGAAATTCAATTTATTTAAGTTAATAAACCACTTTGACTAAATAATTTGAAGTCCTTTTTCTTAATCTGACTGTCCGAAAAAATGATCTTTAGAAGTAAATTCCAGTAATTATTAGACTTTGACTAGTGAACTCTCGAAAGTAAAGCAGTCGTTTTTAGCTATTCTTCCTAATTAGGAATTTATCAACAATGGAGTCGCTTAAACTACTGTCCATATTTCAACTCCTTTGTAATAATTTGAGCAGCACCAAGTTGTTCGACAAATATGACACAACGCAGTGATCAGTCAGTAAGTCGGTTCTGCAAGGGGTCACTAACTTCGTAAATAGTTTAACGGTAACATATCAAAGTATGCGCTTGTGTGACTTCAACTCGAGTATCGAATGCAAGATCAGCTACTCCAGAATTCCAGATTCACTTTACTGACGATCCTAACTAACACGAAATCCAATCCAAGAGTTTTCCTATCAAACAACTCAAGCCATTTAACACTTTAAATGTACACGTCTACAGCTCAAATTTGAAGTGTATCTAAAATTTTCACAAAGAGTAGTGAGTAGATTGAAAATATTTTATCCCAATATGTAGTAGATTCGCATACGGTTCTGATTCTAGAAATCACTTGATTAATGAAGTAAGTTTTATGTAATCTAACCATAGAATATTAATATTCTATCATATCAGGATGATAGGGATTGATAAACCTAATTAACAACTTGAATAAAAAACAGTTTGGTAACAAGTTTAATACCATGAATTAATGGAGACTAACGAATTCTACTATTAAAGAACCATTGGAGATTAGAAAGCACTAAACAGCAGTTTCATTTTATTATAGAACTCTCCTACACACAATCGACTGATTTGAAGAGGTAATTGCGGTAGTTCTAGTGGGAAGTCATAATCAGTGAAGTTTAACTATCACAAGCTGACTCAGTCACCCACCAGCAGGATTGGAATATAGTTGAACAATACCGTCACTTGAATGGATTTAGAAATTTACACCAATGGATACCAGCTTAGCGGTCTAAGTACTAGGCGGTCACCTTGAAACCTGATATAATTACTTCTGATTCCTTGTGGAGTAGTGGTTGCTAGATGATAACGGGTAACACACTGGGACGAAATGACTATCTAGTGCTTTCTAATTTTCAAAGGTTGTCTCAATAAAATCTGTCCATGTTGTAAGCTGTGAGAACATTTGATATCTCACCATTTAACAAAACTAACTTTTGTTTGGCTTTTAAAGTGTCGCACTATTTTTATTCACAGATTTCGTTTATGTTTGAATTAAAAACAAACATGTTACTTTAAAAAGTGAAACGTGTCAACTGTTATATAAGCCAGCTAACGAGTTTCAAATAGTACCCACTAGCAAGTAGTATTCAAAATTTGATCATATTATCACTGAAATTAATTAAAAGGCATCCACTGACGGACCTCGAAAGGTTCCAGCTACTGAATAAGAAGACTGTCCTAAACGTTAATGAAAAAAGATGAAAAACCTTATAGTAATTTATAAATATTATATCAGTTGAATAAGATAGCAACAGTTTCAATCTTAATAACTTTCAATTTCCTATTCTAGGCTTCAAAGTGATAAACACCATGTTTATGTTTCAATAAGATTACCGACAGTAAAATCCAAGTATATCTAGCTAATAAGTTTTCAGTAATGCGAAAAGCAAATCATAGATTTTTCTGATGATCATTATTCGAAGTATTCTAAATGCATGCTGGGAAAAAATAATGCCAAAGAAATTAATTAGGCAAAAACAAGAATCAGTAAACAACTTTTCTCATTCAAGACTAAATTTAGTAAAAGCAAATAAAGCAATTTTTAAAAGGATGCTTCAAAATCTGCTACACAATGCATTATTAAATATGGCAGAAATGACTTTATCCATACCCTGTTTTGTTTGTATGCAATACGCTTCATTTAATATCAGAAAATAAGGCTTATCAAAACTTATTCACATTCAACACACACTAATATATAAAGCAAAAATCAAATAAAAGACCACTCATGGCTGATTTCATTCATGTTCATGTTTAATCATGCGCAAATTGTTAGTTATTAAGTTACGAGCAATCAAGGAAAAATAAACACAGCCAATGTGAATCATATTTACACACCACTTATCAATGTACGAAATACATGTGGTTCAGATACTGGACCAGTGATTTTATACTTGGAATCGATCGGTGGCCATGGTCCTACATTTTTATGCACGAAATCATTATTTTTATTATTATTACTATTAGCAGAAATTGTTGTTGGCAAAGTTTTATGACTGACTAAACGTAACCATATACGATAATCAGTACCGGGGCGTAAATGCAGCATAGTGAAACAACAGCATATTGATTGAGGCAATGGTATTATCCCAGTTGCATTTAATGGACTAATCGACTCGTCGGATAAACCAAATAAAATCTCATACGAAATTGTAGAAAAAATTAACTCTGGCAAATTTGGTTGATCCCAGCAAATTTTTGCGCTAACATTTGTCAACATACGTAAATGTACATTTTTTGGTGAAGGTAGATCAAATGCTGAATGATTTGATGATGTAAGGGGAAAAAATCAATAAGGTAAAATAAACAACCTGTAAACTAGTCAACAGCAATTGATAAAAAGGTAATAACTAGAAGGGTTTTTGAAAAAAAACTAAACAAACAAAACTATTAGTTGAATCAGTAACTCACACAGAGCTGTTGTTGATGATCATGGTAGGATGTTCTGTTTGACTCTAATTTCATGCTGATCGAATCTGATACTCAGAGCATAAGGAAACAGGTGTATCATTTATAAATTCGATTCCACATCAGTATGATTTCCAGTGAAAAACATGTTACTACTAATCTATTCATATCTTTCATACTTTCTTGCAGGACTAAGATATTTACATTGATTTTTATGATGTCTTATCATCAGTGTACTGAGTATATTGTACTTTTTCCCCAGAAAAGTAGGATTTCAAACGATGTAAGCATAATTAGTAGCCAATAGAAAAGAAATCGGTATCATAGAAAACTATGAAAAACTGATGATACCAGAAAGAAGATGCAGGAAAGAAAATTTTTTATTGTATATAACTTGCGTGACCAAGTAAATTAAGTTCGCGGTTACAATCAAGTCGTACATTTGTTTAGTGTATACTTGTAATGTAACTTATTTGTCAAAAATAAATTTTAAAGTACAGCTTTAATTATCTTAGTCTGATTTTAGATTTATTTTCTGAAGCCGAAAATGGTGAGGTTGTGTCAGTTTAAGCCTATCGATTTCGTACAACACCTCTTGGGAATGCTAAGTGTATAATAAAATACTCACTGAAGTAACTGAACCATCTATAAAATCAAAAAAGCCTTAACCATAAACAAAAATTATTCGCATAAATTTAATAAATCTTAAACAATGTAAATAATTTTCAATTGAAACATACGATAATCATTTGTTTGAACTTCAATTTGAGCCGCCACTCCATAACCGTGCATTGATTTACCAGCTAAACTTAAATAATATCGTGTACTTGGTTCTAGATTTGTTAACAAATACTGTGTGTCTGCCGCGTCAATATCACGTGTCTCGGTGATGATTGAGTTTTGTTTTTGTTTAGCGATTTCAGCTTCGTTTGGTGCCGATGATGAAGATTTGATTTGATTTATTTGGTCTACATTGGAGCTGATCATGGTAGCAGGTCGAAATTTCAATTTGTAACCAAGTAGTTTCCTATCATTTGGCATATCAGGTGGTGTCCATGTTAAGTGAATAGTTGTGGGTTTCAATGAGACACCTCGAAAATTTGTTGGTGCTGTTGGAACTATAATGACATTGAATGAATGAACGCGTTAGTTTCGAGTGTGATTGTGGCAGTATTAATTATGATTAGTTAGAAAAAGAAAATAAGAAATGTGTGTTAGTTAAATAATTTAAAAATATTATCAATCAATATGACAAAAGGATAGAATAAATAGGGCATATAATTGTAAAATATGGATAAGCAGATACACATTACTTATAAGTAGTATGTTCATATATACAAAAAATATGGATATGTATCGTCAGCATGCTGATATATAAATATTAAAGATTATCATTGTGAATATAAATATATATGTATATATATATACAAACATATATATTCATAAATGTTGTGCAATATATTATAGACTATGTGAGTGAAATGCTCAGCAATCTAAGATAGCAAAAGTGAATGAATGAATAATTATACGAGTTTATTGTGTGAAGATTTTTAATATAAGTGAAAAACGCGTACGTAGTTTCAATTAATTTTTAGGTATTTTACGCGTACAATGATTTTGTGAAGTGAATTTTTTGGTGTGTGGCAAATTTATTAAAATATTACAGAATAGAATCAGGTTATTGTTGAACAGATCGATCTACGCCTAGTCACTAGGTGACGGTTTGTTTTTTTAAAAATAGATTGTTCTAATAAAAAGTGCAAAAAATATATGACCACAATAAATGTTAGATATTTGAAATGGAAATTCTTTTCAACCAATAATAACTACTATCAAATTTGATAGCAGTATAGTCAAGTTTGATGAAGTATATTTCGGATAATAAGGTTGTGGAGACTGTTGAATTGCTTTTGAAATCAATACGAAAACGCCTTCAGCAGCTTCCAGGTTTTCAATGGTGATCTAACACTGATCAATTCAAGATTTCAAACAGAATATATTTTGATAAGGGATACTACCTTATGAGATTCATACATTCGAGAAAATCTTTTCAAATGAACACACTCAAATAATAAAAAGATATAATAAATGTTTGAGAAGACTGTTCCAATTTGGAAATAATATTTAGTGCATTGCTCTATCAACTATATGTGTGTGTTTCATATGTACACATAGATAGATAGATAGATAGATAGTTAGATAGATAGATAGTTAGGTATAGACATGAATATGATTTTTATACTGACATTGTTATAATAAACACATAACTAGTGAACAATTATTTACATCTGTCACAATTAAATGTTTATAATGTGTTTCGAAATGTGTGAATGAGACAAGTAATGTATGATTTTTTTAAAAAAGGTTTTTAATTGCTGCTCTCTAATAACCATATATATAAATTTATATATGTATAAATACATGAATAGTTTAGGATATTTATTTTTTGAAATTCGGAAAAAATCAAAACCATTATTCTATAATGAAAATCAGTCGAATTATGTGAATAGAAACATTTGAAATGTGTTCATAGGTGGTGAGACAGGCAGACAGAGAAACAGAGAGAGAAAGTTGACTAAAAGAATGAACAATAATTTTGAATAGGATAAATTAATTGAGCGATTGAATAAAAAACAACAACAGACTAACAGTTATATGCGTAGATTTGAATGGAATCGAAAAAGTTTAGAATTAATCAAAGACAAGAATAAGAAAGATAGAAGTGAAAAGAAACAGGAATTTGGAAAGAGAACTTAATGTTAAAACACGTCAAAACAACAACTTACGACTATCCATCTGAATATCTATGGAATCTGAAACAATGTTCGTAATGACAATGGTAATCATAACATAATTATGTATTTTATTCTCATCATCTGTGACGTGTTAGGAAATCTAACCAACTTACTTTGAAGGGAGTATGTGTACAGACTTACACGTCAGTTATATGTGGTGATCAGGAGCACCGATGTTGAGTGAGTGCAGGCTATTGTTTAATCTATGAAATGCTGCCCAAACGCTCTGATGCGCTCTTATTTATCTAATGATCAACTTACAGGCTGTTTGGCTAAATTCACTCATTCAGGTACCTAAGGTATTTTGAAAATGTTGTTGCGTTTTACATCAAACTGAAATCTTGATTCAACTCTATATTATATGCAGATAGATTTTCATGAGTTACAAGCACGCACGCACACACACACACAGTGCAATCTAATCATGATGTTTACTACTCCACACTGGTAATCATTGTAGTATGTAGGTAGTGTGATAAAAAATTGCCTTGGCACACACAAAACAAAATCAATGAATGTTTAAAATTCACAAACATCGATTGTAGAATGAATAAAAATGCAACGCAAAAGTTGAAATCAAAGTGAATAATCAATCATATATTGATAAAAGCATACGTTGGGAATAATGGATTTATGAAATATTAAAGCATTTAATGTGAATATCCATGGGATTTTCATTTTTTTGTTTATCGCCAGTAAACGGTTTCAATGAATACTCACTCTTAGGCTTGATAAAAATATGTTTACATTCAGTGTTTTTGGGCTTCAAAGTAAATGTCATTCATGCGACTATGGTAAATGTCAATTCATTGATAGTTCAAAGTAGTGCGTAAGGAATCCTAAATGCTGAAAATATGAGACTCTAAGATTTTTATGTGTTCCGGTAATAAGAATTTAAAGTGAATTATCTGGAATAACTTTACTTTTGAGCATGAACTTAAACGCAGCTACATCACATTTTTAAGTAGACGTTATTGTTGACTAGTACTGGAATCCACGAGTCGTGTTTCTTCCTATTTTAGTACAGGTATACTCAGCTAACGTCGGCTTGATATAATGAACTGTACCTCTTGCATTCCGGTTCTAGCCATCAACCATCTCTGCTTAAAAATGCTTGTAACTTGATGGTAATATCAAGACAATCTCATAAGGCATGCATATTTGCCAAAATCAACTGATCAATTGCAATGTGAAGATTCAAATAACTAATACATATAAATGTAAACATATCATTCTGCAAAAAAAAACCGATTTCATTTCCTAATATTCATTGGTCGTATTATGAATGATCGAATTATGAATAGTTTTTTTTACCCGAGTTAAGTTTCAAAATAAATTAAATTTCTTTATATATTCCCATAGGAGGAAACGACAATTTCGATATTAATGTCTTTACTTTGAAAGTACACACTATAATGTTAAGCTGAAAATTCAGGATGAAATAAGCACAAACGTAAACATCATAGATAATTAGTGAAGAAATCACTCATGAAGAATAATTTAACATCTCATTCATTTTATAAAAATTGTCAGAGTGGATTTACAATTTAGATGAGAAGATTCCACTTCCTGACATAATTAGAAGTGAATGTATTTTGAAGTATAAAAAGTGCATTTTTTTCAGCACACTTTTGTTCACAGATTCCTCAACAATCTACTATGAATTTGATAAAATCAACCAAAAACTAACGGACGTTGAAATTGTTATGCTCGTCACTAGGTATGCTTGAAACTATTACGGGTTCACCTTAATCGATAAACACGAGCGAGACAATGAACCAGCATCCAGTTAGGCGGCCCTGATCCGTTGACTAACGACAAGTATATTCTACAAACACCCAGCAAGCACAATACAAACACACAAATCTCGTTTATTTATACATCATACAAACGTCCTTAGGAAAGTCACAAAAATAGCACACTAAAATACAGAGCATCCAATCACAGCCAAGGATTTTCCTGGTGTGAAATGAAATCTCAGGGTCAACTGATCAGCTCAGGCTCGGAAACATGAAATCCAAAATAAGGCATTTATCAAGCGAGTTCTGGAAACAGAACTATTGTTAACAAAATCGAGAGCAATCGATGTGGTTATTGAATTTACACTGAACAAGGCAATATCCGACTAACTCTTATTTTTATTTTTATAAATTTATTGGGTTTCATTCTTATACACATGAACAAGTTGTTTAATATTTACTCCATTGTTACACCTTGACACCATTATTACTATTATAATATTTCATATGTTATGTAATCCCTTATGTTACATTTCATATGATCATCAGTAATATTTCTAATTCTTTCACTCAATATATATATATATATATATATATATATATATATATATATATATATATATATACATTTCAATGTTCATTTCCGAATTAAGACTTATAATATGATGTAATCTGTTGAATACAGTTGTAATAATCATGTTAGACTTGTTCATTCTACCTTAACAAACTGTATTAAACATATTTCATTTTATTAAATTGATGTTTTATGATTTGAAAACATTTTTTTTTTCTAAAATTAAAAAAATTCTGTCGTTTTTCGCTTACCTAATTGGGAATATAGTAAAATAAAGATATATTTCATTCAACTAATTATGAGTTTTTCAAATAAAATAAAGTTCTCATTACACAGTATTTCATGAAATAAATTTTAATTTAATTAGATTAACAAATGAACCATTGAATAATTTATTTAAATATTTGTTCTTTGCGTAACATTCATCAATTGACTTTAGCTTCATTTGGAACTTCAAGTCGAATATTCATCAGAAATCTTGGATGATAAGCATGTCATATTGTAGACTGATAAAGTTTGAATGATTTACATACCTCAGTAATTTAGCTTAATAGCAATGATTCTGAATTAAATAGAACCTAGAGAACTCGAACTTTGTTTCCTTTGAACATTCAATATTCAATCTTAGGGTAGTTTAAAATAAGTATCAACTATGGTCGGTTCATTTTGGTTGTTGATGTCAGTCGTCTTATCAGTAGTTGATATAAAGTTTGACAATATTATTATCATATCATTTTGTTTTTAATTTACATGACTGGCGATAAATTCTATTTTATTCATACGCAATCACGACTTTGAACCTGACAACGGATTAGAATGGGAGAAGAATTATTTATTACTTTTGCTATTGCAATCAATAACGCATTAACAAGATTTTTAAGATTTCAGGGGCAAAAGCTACATTAATTCAGTCAGTCAGTTGCAACGTAGAACTTCGAACGTGTGTACATAAGTTCATGTTGCCTTACCACATTAGCACAGAGACGCAAATGTCAAATCAAATCCCATAGTGATAAAGATAGTAGGGGTATAAATGGTTACGAAGAATACTAGGGTTCGAAGATATTATTCAAGAAGTATAATTCAGTGAGATAAGGTTACAAAGACAAAGGTAGAGGTGCTGACGAATCCAGAAGATTAGGATTTGAGAGAGCTCAAAGAATGGATGCACTTGCGCCATTGCAAACAATTTTGAGCCATGTCATTCAAGGTCTTTCGTTTCGCGGACCCCAACCAGGTAGTCTACATCTACCAACATGACTCAGTTCACCAGTCAGTGACTTCATGGATTTCTGCCATGTTTTGGTTTGGCCGCCAATAGTTTTCTTCCAACCTACTCCTACACCACAAAACATAGCTCGTCGGGGCAGTCGGTGGTTAGGCATTCGTAACACATGTCCCAACCTCCTCAACTGATGAAGTTTCAGTACTTCATCTATCGATCTGCCATCCTTACCTAGCACCCATTTCCTAACGACAGCATTGCTTACTCTGAGCAATGCTTTTTAAACATCTATGATCGAATACTAGTAACCTACGAACATCTTCATTAATTAGGTTTATTCATATGTTTTAAACTGTGCAAATGTGAAGCGATAGATTGAAAACATGTATTCAGTTATTTGTGATTCTCCATGATCATTTCCAGTTCAAAACTATAAAATGACGTTTGAAAAATTGTCGAACAATTAAACATGTCAAGCCATTTTAAAATTGTCCTAGTTTTCATCTTGTAATTGCGAGTGAGTCAGTGCTTCTAATAAATTTCAAACTACCAAACCACCCGATGATAATAAACCACTTTTGAGTCAAGTTTCAGGACGTTGATAGTTCTTTTTTTTTATAAATTTTAACTTTCATTAATTTATTCGGTAGGTGATCTTAACACCTAGGAACTCCAAAAAGTGCTTTTTATCGAAAAAAAGTGAAATTTTAGATTCTATTGGTGCCAGGTTCAAATAGGAAAAAGTAATTTTACACGAACCCTCTGATGCTTACAGTTGTTTAAATCAGTATCACTATTTATTGTGTTGGTAAGTTGTCTTTCAATTTTAAACTTTTCATTCATATGTACACAGAAATCGTATTGGTAATGAATGAATCACAACACTAAGAAGGAGAAGTAATAAGATATTTCTTCCCTATATATATAGATGAATATTGATAAGTGAGATGCCCAGACGTCGTAGTAGTTCTTAATCAATTTTTTTTCCGTGAAACACTTTTTTTACTAATTTTTTTTTTCAAATGTCCATTCTATCGTGTTGACTTCATCTAGTGTTGTATCGATTGAAAATTTATCCATTTGAATAATTTATCGTATGGTAGACGTTTCAATTAAACCAGAATAAAAATTAATTTTTATTTTTTTTCTATGTTACATTTGTCTTGCAATGAATGATTTTATTTACACAGTTTCATAGTATATTGGATTAGATTATTTTGAACTGAACATCATGAACTATTTGATAACAGAGTGTTACAATCAAATTACACGGCAAGTAGTAATCCAGGAAAATGAAATAAAAACCATTATTGTTCATGCAAATAAAATAAGTTCTGCAAAATCATGAATAAATCTGTTAAAAATGAAAACATTTTGAAAATAGGAAGGAAGGTTATGGTTTCTGTATACATACATGCATTATATAAAAGGTTTTTATTTAAGGTAAACATTTATAAGGAAAAAATGGGATTTCGATAAAAAAAATAATTATTTCTCTTTTAAAGGCTAAACTAACGATGATGACGTGAAGATTAATTGATTGGCTGTACTGCAATAAGTTGATAACAAAAAATATTAGCCCAACTAACTCCTATCGTTATTAGTAATACTATCAGAATTATGAGAGATAATGATGGAAGTTGGGAATAGACTGGTTACAGCCAGGATAGCGATATAGGCGTTAAAATGATTGATGAATAGAATAGGTTAGGAAAATGATAAATACTGGTTGACTGTGTTATAAAAAAACATGTTCAATCATAATTATATAGTTACAGGTTTATAAGTAATGAAACCTTCAAAAGAGGGTTGTATTCGATTGTCATGCAGTGACAAATACATTTTCACCTATTAAATTTACGACAACATACTGCAATTTCGATTTATATATATATATATATTTCACCGAGTAAGGAGCGTACAATTTATGAGAAACATATTTCTAATACTGATTTCAGTTTGTACTATGAAACAAAGGATATAATTTCAGTAGAACAATCATTTTGATGTTTGAAACAACTAATAAGCATGTTTAACATTTACTGATCACATAAATTTCAGGTATATTCCTCAGTGATAATTAGATTTATTCAATTTTCAATAGTAACTGAATTACTTTGGTTGTTTGGTATTGCCAGAACAAGTTTACCTTCGTTCACTCTTCATTAACGACGAAAACATCATGCATCCTGTGAAACGGATTTTGAATTAGGATGATCTTATGATAATCCGATTCTTGATTAGGTGTTTCTGCTGATAACTAACCATACCAGATGAACCAATCTAAACCAAAGCGCACTTGTAAATGGTATTTTCACCAAACCTCATACAAGAGTAAGCGATTGTCTTTTTATTTACTGTGGCGGATCCAATTAGGCCATCGAGTGGTAACTCATCGATCTATAATCTCAACCTTAGATTAACTCACTCATTTTTAATGTTCGGCTCAAACAAGTGGTTTGAATAAAACAAAGTTTCCGCTGATCAGGTTTATCATGAACAAACCGAATCAATCCCACTTAGTGGGTACATGATTCTAACTTTCAAATGTATGCTCCAACACAAACATCGATTTCCATATTTTTATGTCATTTACTTACACAGTGCAGTAGAACCATCCAGAAAAATGCTAGTACGTTTTAGATTTGACTGTTGTGTCAAAGTAGTAAAATGATTAATGCATACTAAGGAATTGAGTACTTGGAGCTACTATAAAAAGTCATATATCTCTAACTTATAATGATGGGAAAAATTTATAGTAAATGGAGCATATATTTTAGGGCTACTCGTTCTCTCCTGTAAACGCCGGTGATGATGCTGTTTGAAGAGAAGAACAAATGACTTTCGGATGAAACATCCAACTTTGTGAAAACGATACCACTTCGTTCAACCTGTTTTATTGTTTGATATACTTCTAAAGCAGGTTATCAAATGTATGAACTAATTGGGAATAGCAAAATTCATGCAAATAAATTGAATCTTTTTCAACTAATTGGTTAGTTCATTTGGTATACACAGTAAGCAGGTATACACACATTCATATAAACACATACATACATTCACACATACATACATACATACATACATAAATAGGTACAAACATGCAGGAAATTTCCATTCCAATAAATGTGCACTCACTCTCTGCAAAAAAATGAACACAATTAACATTTAGAAAGAAGAATAAAAATGATAAAAGATTAATACTTTGACAGAGTTACATCAAATATTACAATAACACACAATTTCTAGCACTTTCATAAATGCTTGTCATTTACATAAGCTGTTTGTAAGGTAAGCCTTAGCATAAAATTTTTTTCAAAGTACTTCATTAAGATTGCAAGTTAATTAGTTGACTTCATCTATTGATGACTATAGATAATTATAATAGAAATTATTATTATTACTAATATTGTTAAAAACTTACCTCCAGGTGTAATAACAATTGGTAATTGTTCACTAACTGGACCATCTCCTGCCGCATTGAATGCATTTACTTTGAGATAATAAGTTGCATTTGGAATTAAATTGGTCAATTGATATTTCTCTTGTATTGTTCTAGCAACTAACCATGAATTCAACGAATCTTCTGGTCGAGTTGTATAAAACAATTTATAACCCTATAGATTATTTTTAAAATTAAAGTATTATATTTCTTACAAAGTAAAAGTGAAGGGACAGTATCTATTTAAATATTTATATCTTTGTCATTAGATAAGGGCGCCTTAGTGAGATGACTTGAAAACCACTAATCGATAGTAAGCTAACGAGGCAAATTTAAAATTAGTTCGTGAAATCGTACGAGGTCATGTATGAGACATTCATCTGCCGATGGTATTAAAAGATCAATGTGCAGTATGGAGAATTTGTCATGGTTACAAATTTAATTCCCTAAATTCTGACTCAGTGGACAAAGTAACAAACGCTCACTATCAGACCTGAGTATTTCGATAAGAATGGTTACTGTCTGTTGAGGGGTTCCATACTTAAAACAAAACGTTAGTTTAATGCTTCCTATTTCTCAACAACTGTCTGTCAGTTCGTGATATGAACGATAAAGCAGTTTACCACTCTACACAAACTTCAAACATTAATAGTAGTTACCAGTTTGTAATTTTATATCACGCTGATAGTAATTGATTGATAAAAACGTTTATTTCCATTGGGCGCTATATTTTATTAGTTTGTAGAATGATGAATTTCAAGTGAATTAATCTTCTAATGTTGACAATCTACGTTGATTAACTTACTGATCGAAACCGGTAGTATAAATTAGAGTAGATTTCGAAAAAAGTTTCTTGTTTATGATTTGTACTGTTTGGTGTACATGTATGAAGTAAGCTTCATGCGACACTAAATGCTCGCTAATTTGGCATAGAAAATTCGGCAAACTACTGTTGGGATAAACTAATCAATCCATCCAATTCAAGAAACCTATAGGACTATGACCATTAATGAGTAAATTTGATCAGAATACTGAACAAACTATTCATATGGATTTCGTTAAGTTACTAGTTAAATAAATTTCTTATTCAAATTTAACGACTTACAGTGATACGACCATTGGATTCAATTGGTGGTTTCCAGCTTACCACTACAGAATTCGGCGAATCAACAGTCGCATGTAATACTTGAGGAGGAGTTCCGGGTGCTAAAAAAATTTAACCATGAACATAATAATTGCGATCAATATAAATCAGGATGTTTTTTTTTGCACGTAAACGAAAAATGCCAGTGTTAGAGATGAATGAATAATAACGCTTCAATTCATAGGAAGAATCAGGTTCAGTTTGACAGCATAATTCACTTTGAATATCAAGCTCTATTTAACGTAATAACGATTCAAAGGCATTCTAACAGTACGGTGAACTTTGATGATTAAACGTCAAAGAGATAGCAGTTTTTCTCTTTACACAAGTGATTTTTAATACATCGACGCCAATCTAACATGCAATCAACTTGATTTCTGATAGATTTTTTAAATGACAAACAGCGGTATAATTCATTCATTAAATAAATATATACAGTTCGAATCATTTGAAAAATATTTTTCCTCCTCAGTAAATTATATTTATGAAGTATTGCTTACAAAGCAAAATCAACTAGGCACAGTCATTGAATTACATTGCCTGTGTATAAAAAAACACACTACTAACTGATGTACATATTGCTTTTCAACATGAAATTTAATATATTTCTGTTCTAAAAAAATAGAAAGTTTTAAAAAAATGAAAATTCTGTTTAGAGCAGGTATAAAGTTTCGAATGACCGGATTATTTAAATGGACAGTTTTATGCAATGTCTATATGATGAATTGTATTTGTTACCATTCCTAAACTCGGTACATTACTTGTCTTGATAAAAGCTATTAGATAAGTTCCAACGGTGTCTAAAACCACAATCACACGAAATGAATGCTGACAGATATGTGAATCACTGGACGGCCGTTTCGTCCTGGTATGGGACTCATTAACAGTGCGCATCCACGACTACTGCACCTCGCAGGGTTCGAATCGGTGACCTTCGGTATTGTGCTCGAACGCCTAACCATCGTATGCCGGCCTAGTGGTTCCATGGTTGATTGATTGATGATTTCAAATGTTTAAAAACAAAAAAACCTCCAAAACTCTGCCCGAAGATATGCGAATGCTGGAGAATAAATTAATTGAGTCTAAGATGCATATATATATATAGGAAAACAAATGATTCATCGGGTTATTTAAGCAATAGACATTAAAGCTAATGACAGGCATTTGTATGTGATCCAAGAAGTAGTCAAGCATACATGCTTATACACTCTGATGATAATAATTAGTACAATAATATTGACATTTTGTTACTTTACTGTCTGTCAGCTAATTTAATTCAAGGACCTAATCATATTAAACGTAAATAAATTCAAGTGTAGGTAAGGTGCTACAGCTGTTATGGCAAATAATTTCAAAATGAATGTAAACGAATGGATTGATAATGAGAACACTGATTGTTTTTTTGCACTAACACAAAGTTCTGAATACTTATTTCTTACTAATTGATGTTTATCCGTAAATCGTGACTAAAATCTTTAGGAGACTTATGATTAATAAAAGATTCGAAATCATGTGAACCCAGTACCATAGTTCAAAGAAGTTATTAGGGATTCCCACTCGGAATCTAAGATTAAACAGAAAAGACATCAGTATTTTTAAAATTAGAGTCTTGGAGATCATTATTTTCACACATTAAAACCATCAATTTATCATTATGTCCAGTAGTGATTAGCTTCGTAAGGAAAATTCTCGGAGCGAGAAGTCGTGACCAGTGGAGTTCAACCCTGCCGGGTGTAGGCAGTAACTACTGAAGTGAAATATATGAGGTCACAAAAATTCCCTAAACTGGTCAGAGTTATACATTAACACCGTTGGATGCTAGCCCAGTGGTCCAGAGGTTAGGCGTTCGTGTGCAGGATCGGTCCTGGGTTCCAATCCTATAAACAGTAGCAGTCGTGGATGCTTACCAGGACGAAACGGCTGTCCAGTGCTTCCCGGTCTAACAATGATCAATCGATGGTTTCAATGTATAAAGATATTAGTACCTAATAAACTATTAGTTAGTGTTAAAACTTCGTATTGTGGATTTTGTTCATTTAAACCATTTTTGACCTGAACAGCTTTATCTCCATCTAATCAGATATTAGTTAGGTTTAAAATGAATGAATTTAGTGATATCGTGTGCTCTCAGCTTTGTGGTCTAGCTATGGATCCTTTACTGTTGCATAATAATGATAGCCTAATTCAAATGGTCTTCTTTGTGATTGGCTTTGTCGTAGGCTTTAATGACTTCATTTTTCTTTATTTATGTATTAACTGTCTTTTCTATTGACCTTCAGTTTTGCAGTGGAAAGACCCCTTCTCTATGGCATAATAGATTGGATACATTTCTGTGTATCTACTGACTTCTAGTTTGTTTGAATGCCACTTTTCAAGAAATTTTCAATCATTCTCAAATTTTCATTTATCCAGATTTTCAACATTTCTCCAAAAGGAATAATGTTCTCGTTATTTGAAGTAGATAGTAGCTTGACGCATCAACTCGCCATTAACGTTTTTTTAGGTGTGAGTTTTTGGGTTCGTTTTCTTGTGGGTTCGATAGTGAATGTCCCGTATTAAGATAAAAGAACTATATTCTATTTTTTCATTTTTAATGATCATTGAACTAAGTTCGTTGCATGACACAGACTTGAAATAAATTGTTAGCTGTTAATATTTTATTCTCTCTAACATGGAGTGGGTTGTGGGTTGTGCAACTATTCAAGTCAAGATCCATCACATACAGTCTTTGGTAATTTTTAAGTGTCAATCAAATAAAGTAGCTGGGTTTTTCTCTCAATAATTAACGAGCTATCGAATAATTTCCTCGTTTACGCAAGAGTTAATATACTTGATAAAGTATAACAATCAGGTTTTAAGGTAATTAAGTGATTAGAAAATCGATCCACTTATATTACGAACATCATGTCTGTGTGCTAATGTCTACTTTATCATTTGTGTGATTCAAGAAATTTCGAGGAAAGTAAATTCAGTCAAAACATGCATATCTAATGAATCAATATTTATGAGGTATATCATTGAGAGGTAACATATTGCAGTCACCTCTAACGATGAATGTAGTAGTTAGAGCATGGAAGACACGAAAGAAAAGTGTTGGGGACGTTAGATCCCCAAAACTCGCTTGATAAATGCCTTAATTCGGATTTCACTTTTGTGATCATGGGTTGGTCAGTTGACCTTGAGATTTCATTTCCCACCAGGAAAATCCTCAGCTGTGATTGGTTGCTGTTTATTTTAGTGTACTATTTTTGTGACTATGATGTATAAATAAACTCGATTTGTGTGTTTCATTGTATTGTGCTTACTGGGTGTTTGTAGAATATACTTTCTACGCTTATCAAGACTTCTGTTTTGCCGTTTTTCGGATCAAGTTAGCCTACCCGGATGCTGGTTCATTGTTTCGTTCTCGTTTATCTACCAAGGTGAACCCATAATATCTTCAAGCGTACCTAATGACGAACCTAACAAAAAGCTAAATAAGGATAGAAACATTGTTATTGTATGTCATTTGTTGATCGGTAATAAATTTATTACATAATTTTGACTGTGTGTTTGTTTTTGACCTAAACTTCATATTGCTGCTGTTTTCATTGCTTTTCATAGATTATTATTACATATTGAAATTTATGCTACAATGATCACTACTATCACTTCATTCATGTCGATAAAAGAAAAAAAACAGTGAACATATGGCTGAATGAATGAATTTACCACATATTAACCTACATAAGCATTGTTCTTTATTCAATTCAATGATCGACAAATGTAGACTGTGGGATAATGAAAGTATAGATTGATATATATATATATATATATATATATATATATATATATATGAGTGAGAGGTGGGAAATACATCTTTTCAATTGTATTTTTCTCATTATTATCAAAATTTTTCATGTGTAAGTAGTTTTCATTGGATGAATTCATGTACTAGGGAAAAAAAATCTGAAAATTTCGCCTGTCCTTAGAATTTGACACAGATGGATGAATATATTTACATAAATAAAGATGACTTTCATTGAAAATCGAATATATTGAAAGAGTGCTAACCGATACTGAAAAAATTTCAACTGTTGAATTCAAAATTAAAGATAGTTTAGGCAACCGAACGAACTTAATCCATTGACTATTGAATACTGGTTAATAGTGGGCAGTTGTATAAAATGTAAAAGATCCTCAAATAATTGAGCACATGAACTCGGAGTCTCATTGAGTGTATTACCCATGATTTATTTTCTGAATCCTTCATTATTTTCAGATGTGTACAACTATAAGTGATTACCTTCATTGACAGTTGCCCCTTACTCGTCACTTCACTAATCGTAACTCCCTAGCAGAATTTTTTTTTAAATTAATCACTAGTTAGGATACGATTATTTTAAGCCAAATTTGATGTTCTACAATGATAACTGTTAATAAAGTGATTTCCTTCGTCATTTCACTTCTTACTTTTATATCTATTAGTTCATTGAATGACTTAACTCAACCAAATGCAAATAGATATTGGATATTACATCAAGTTAATTAGGTAAGGAATTTTCTAATTTATTCTGTTTGAAATTGAAACTGTACTTGTGTAATCACGATATATTTTTATAAATCTCAATTTTTTTTACAGAGAAAAACAAACGTGCCAATATGTAGAATGTTTGTAGCACACGAAATGAAATACACACAAAAACGTTCAGTTTTGTGACTGAATTTACAAAACTACCTGGATATAACTAATTACTGGTACGGTGGGATCTGTGTTAAAAATGATTCCCCTATAAATTTAATTACTAACCAATTTGAGTTTCTTCCTTCTCACGCGAAAATTGTAGCTAGAAAACATTGGATGTTTGCGAGGAAATAAATGACGGTCACTTGCAGTACTGAATCTCAACAGTGTCAAATCATTCGGCGTTACAAAATGTGGTGCTTGTTTGAAATCAATAGCTCACTGGATAATGCTATGTCCTTAAAAGGCATAACTAATGGATTCGTATTACAGTCAAAATTGGGGTATAGTTTCATCCAGTACAAAGATCACAAACAGGACAAAATATGAGTCTTTGAT